CTCTCTCTCTCTCTCTCTCTCTCTCTCTCTCTCTCTCTCTCTCTCTCTCTCTCTCTCTCTCTGTAAAGTACATCAGCAACTAATAATTCGCGTGTACAGATATGAGATCGGTCGGAGTAGACCCGCGAGGGAAATGTGACAACCTGCGGGCGAACGTCGATTTTCATAGCTGTCTCACGAAATAACACGCCGCCGTCGTCGTCGCCGCCGTGGAAAAATACATACGATAAACCTTGAGAGTATGGCCACATCGTATGGAAATTACGATGATGCTGCTTTCACAACGCCGACACTTGCACAGCCATCAATAAAGCATGTGACTACGATAGTTTACGATCGTTGTTTACAATATATAACGATAGACGCCAAGCGCGTGTCACGATCATTACGATCATTATGAGGAAAAAAATACTCCCCAAGATAAATTGGCGTGTGTGTTCATTCAATGGCCCGCATGCATGTGCACGCATGTAAGTGCATGTGATATCAAAAATAATATAGGAGAATTGTGTGTGTACGTAGTTAACTACATTGCGACAGCGTTGTCAGTTGCAGACGTAGTGGAAAAATAATGTCATTATCATCAATATGCCACTTTGAGGATACTCGGGGTCACGCGCGTTGCGCCGACTTAAATTAAATATTCGTAAAATTTATGCGAATGCACGATAACATTTCCGCACGATAACGCTCCGCTTTGCCATAGGCGATAGATGCGAACGGCGGAGAAAATGTTTTTTAACATAATTTCTATGCGTAAAAATGTATTGCGAGTTGTTTTCTATGCAGAAAAAACAACTCCGTGTGACTGAGTTTTCCGTTGCCTCGGGGGAGCAGAGATCAGAAAACTCGATGGTTGTGGGAACGGAAAGATCCCCGCAGGAGGTTTCTATTCAGTCGATTGTTTTCGCTTGTCTCAAGCGAGTTTTAAAGCGACCGTATGTTCCGACGAATGTTTTCGCTCGCGATAACAGAGATATCACTTCTCGTAGCCGAATTTCCGGCTGGTCCCTATTCAGTTACACACCAGCAGAGATTTCTTTTCTATGTAAGATAAAAATATTTAATGCCTGGACACTCATGATACCACAATCTAACTCTTTTTATTCTTATCATTTTAGTTTTTAAATACGAATATATTTAAATTTTCTGTTAAAAATTTAAATATTCGTATATATATATATATATATATATATATATATATATATATATTCTTTATTCATATATCTATATTATTAAATATTCATATTTATATATATATTATATATATATATATTTATATATATATAATAATAATATAGATATACGAATAAAGAATATATATATATATATATATATATATATATATATACGAATATTTAAATTTTTAACAGAAAATTTAAATATATTCGTATTTAAAAACTAAAATGATAAGAATAAAAAGAGTTAGATTGTGGTATCATGAGTGTCCAGGCATTAAATATTTTTATCTTACATAGAAAAGAAATCTCTGCTGTGTAACTGAATAGAGATCAGCCGGAAATTCGGCTACGAGAAGTGATATCTCTGTTATCGCGAGTGAAAACATTCGTCGGAACATATGGTCGCTTTATATATATATATATATATATATATATATATATATATATATAT